GGTATTAGCTACTCCTCCTAATGTGGTGTCATCTGCAAATTTGATAACCCTCTATTCTTTCATCCAAGTCGTTGATAAAGATGTTGAATAGCACTAGGCCCAGGACAGAACCCTGTGGCACCTCGCTGGTCACTTCTCTCCAGGATGAAGAGACATTTCTGAGTACCCATTGGATTTGGCAAGTCAACCAATTACAAATCCACCTAACATTTGCATTGTCTAGCCCACATTTTACTAGCTTGTTTGCAAGAATATCATGAGGAACCTTGTCAAAGGTATTCCTGAAATCAAGATACGCTGTATCCACAGCACTCCCTTCATCCACCAAGCTGGTAATTTTATCTCCCCCCAAAAGAGATCAGATTAAGCTGGTATGACTTGTTTCTCAGAAACCAATGTTGACTTTTTGTGATTATGGCATTCCCTTCTAAATGTTCACAGACTCTCTGTTTAAATTATCTGCCCTAGAATTTTTCCTGGTATTGATGTCAGACTAAGTAGGCGATATTTATTAGGATCCTTCCCTCCCCTTTTTGAAGATTAGGATAACGTTTGCCCTCCTCCAGTCTTTTGGGACTTCTCCTATTCTGAAGCAGTTCTCAAAGATTATTGTCAATGGCTCTGAGATGACATTTGCCCATTCTTTTAATACCCTTGGATGTAATTCATCTAGTCCCGGAGACCTAAATTTAGATTAACCAGGTATTTCTGTACTACCTCTTTAGTTATTCTGTGCTGCATTTCCCCTATTGGGTCCTCTACTCCATTTTCCTCAGGTTGAACATCCTTTTCCTTTTGTGAGAAGACTGAGGCAAAGAAGGTGTTGAGTAGTTCTACCTTTTCTCTGTCCCCCGTTAGCATTTTGCCATCTTCTCCACACAGTGGTCCTACCATTTCCTTCAACAATAGCTGGAAGGTCCACCTTTCCCTACCCTGGCACAAATTATTCTAGAAGTACATCCCACATGGAAGTGCTACACAAATTTCTCTTTAAATTTGAACAACTTGATTGCCATTAGCAAGGATCAGACTTACAGGCTCTCAATGTATTTTCTAAAGTTATCTGTGTACTAAAATTTCATCTTTAAAAACTCGTCCTCCTACGGCAAAGCAATTTTGCATCTTGTTTTGTGTCTTCAAGTCATTTCTGAGTTATGGCGATCCTATGACAAACCTATTACAGGGGTTTTCTTAACATAATTGATTCTAAGGTGGTTTGCTCTTGCCTTCCTGAGAGAAAGTGACTTGCCAAAGGTCAACCAGTGGGTTTCCATGGCCAAGCAGGAATTAAAATCTTGATCCTCCAATGCCCAACACTCAAACCACTACACCTTACTGGCACTCCTAACTGCATCTACAAAAGACAAATATCTCTAAGGGGGGGGAGGGGAAGCTAGAAAAATGGCAGCCTAATCAAACCTTAATTTACAATCTTCACACCTAAAACCACTTCAGAAATAGACTCCTATTACTGCAGAAAGGCCTTCAAAGTTACTTCTCCTGCACTGGCAAATTCTTGTCTTCAAACATTATTATTTACAATTATCTATGTTAAACTGCATTTTCCACATACTGTCTGTCCCAGTTACCTAGAAGATCCCTAAATCCCTCTTAATCAGGCTGCAGGAATGACTGCTATTTTCATAAAGCACTAAAAAAAGGAACTGCAACCTGACAATTAGAACACACATACACCTCAACCAATCTTGAACATCAGTCAGTATTCATCACTTGACCCAAATTTCTGTTACAGATATGCAGCAGTAATGCAGTAGTTTCTTCTGAGACTCCAGAAACCGTCTGCTTTTATCCGAGGAACAGAAAAAAGACCCCAACTCTTTACTCATCATCAGTATTTTTAAACAGAGATAATATGCCATAACATATTAACAAAAGCTGATTTCTGAAAGAGACAGGAATTTAAAATGAAACTGATGATATACAGTATTCTGCATATGGTTATTTAAAAAATAATTATGTTTATTATGGCTGAAAGCAAAGGTCAATCACAAGGTAATTTACAAGTCCTTTCTCAAGACTCAAGACACCTGTTTTGTATTACACAACATGCAATTTTGAGTATGTCTGTCCCATCAGATGAGGCCATCGTTCTGACTTTTCAATGACTGTAACTATCTAAAACACATAATATAAAATCAACTGCCAGATCATCCATTACTTCATGCCACATGCAGCATCCTCAGGAAAGCAGGTAACTGATAAAACTTATGTTAACCACTGGGTTTGCTCAAATCCTCCTTTTGCAAACATCCATTTAGGCTTGAAAAAGAGAGCAAAAAAAGTGAAAGGAGGATTCACAAGCTCTTGTAGAGATGGATGCCTTGTCTAATATGAATGGGCAGAGCTGCCAATTATACCTTAAATACTGTTGTTGTTCTGTGCCTTCAAGTTGTTTTCAACTTATGGCAACGCTAAGGTAACCCTATCACTGGGTTTTCTTGGGCTGAGAGTGTGTCACTAAACCAAGGTCACCCAGTGGGTTTCCATGACTGAGTGGGGAACTGAACCCTGGTCTCCAGAGTCATAGTCCAATGTTCAAACCATTATACCACACTGGCTCAACCTTAAAGATTACTTCTTCAATTTCTCTTCACCAGAGGAATATATAAGGAGACACATACCAAGACACCTCTTCATGTAGATGCTCTGAATGAATGAAGGCAATGCAGCCAGGATAAAACAAAGTTCAACAGCTGTCAATGTTCATTTTGTGTCATGGTGGCGGTAGATGGGAGGAAATTGTATTTCTTGGGACACTGTCATCTGTTCTTCAATGTTAGAGACTTCCTCTCCCCAGCCCCTTTACCCATTAATGTGGTCAAAGCATATAACCGTTTTTCTGTACCTAGTATCATTTTGTTCAGTATTAGGGACAGGAGAGAATGGAAAGGGATGTTAAGATTTTCTTAATGTTTCCCACTTTATTCAAGAATTGGAGGCTGACAGTAATTTTGCTACTGCTACTTTTTCTCACCATACCAGCTCAATACAGCAATTTTTGCTGTGAGTGAACTTTCTTCAGTCCCATTCTCCCCTTCAGAGATGGAGAGGGAATCTCTAGATCAGGGGTAGGCAACCTTTCCTCTTTAAGGGCCGAG